GGGCGTTGGTCATGCAGAGCTGCTTGAATCCATACAGCCTCTGGATCCGGGAGAAACTTCGCTCCCACGGAGGCAAGAGCGTGGCACCGCCCGCATTTCTTTGGCCAGGAGTCTCACCTGGTGCAAGGCTCTTTCTCCTCGGCTGCCTGGTCTCTGCCCCGCATTCCAGTCAGTGGCGGTAACCTCTTTGGAGGAAGCGCTGCGTGATGAAGGAGGCGCGTCTCGCAAAGGTCCCCTAGAAAGAGGAAAGGGGAAAACTTCAGAACAGCTGTGCTTTTGGCACGGTTTGGGTCCGACTCCTCATGGCTGTGGGGCAGCGCTGTTCCCTGGGGAACGCTACCTGAGGCCTTCATCTGGTCTGTGTGCTGAAGTGGGGGAGGCCCTGGCAGTTGCCGGTGGTCTCAAAGAGCCACTGTGGGGAGGGGACTCGTTTAGCACAAGAGGAGCTGGCTCTTTCATCTCTTGATGCACATCCCACGCACACAGCTTTGCTACTGGGGCGTGCTCACACCAGAGGAATTGCTTTTGAGACATCGGAGAATACGAAGGGAAGCGAGGGGAGGGATTTCCAGGGCTGGCAGGACAGGCAGCCGAGTGGAGGCCACTGGGAAAGTGTCCTCTGCTGGGATGATCCCCGTGGCCACTTGTGATGGAGGGCTGCCCTGAGAACTCTCTTCGCAATGGATCACTCAGGCTTTCCCATAACGGTACAAAGAGTCACCGGAAGCGTCTCATGCTCTTCCGGGCGCCCTGTGGTAAGGTCAGCTCTAACCGCCTCCAGACAACGAGGAAGGCAAACACAGAGTCCCCCGATGGCAACCCACGGGTCCCTCACCTTTCCTGCCTCTTGCCCAGCCTTGCCCACGTCTGGTCTTCACGTGGTACTTCAGGTCCACCTTTGCTGTGTCGGGCGTTTCAAGTTCGATCTCGTGCGTGTACCTGGAAGAGGAAGCAGCGGGCTGAAGGAAGGGCAACGCTTCCCCTCGCAGCGTGACCCAATAGCGGAGCGACAGAGACAGAACGCAGAGACGCTGTAAGGCCACGCTTCCCAGAGCAGCTCATTCTGGACAACCGTACCAGGATCTCCAGTGCCTGGAGGGGCAGGTGAGGCCCGTCGGTACGTGCCAGTGTTCTTCTGTCCTTGCTGTGAGAGCAGATGAGCTCCCAGCCAATCCCCCTGCCTGCTCCAGAGGAGGAAATATTCCCCTCTCGCTCAGAACAGACCGGTTGCTCCCCACCCACTTATACCCAACAGCCCTTTTCGCTCTCTTCTTGCCCTGCGAGTTTCTTGCAGATTAACGTCCTCGCAGCTCTGAAGGCTCAACTCCACGCCCCCCCGCCCGCACCTCTTTTGGGTGGCACTGCGCAGCAGCGACGGTACGAGACAGAGCTCTGCGGAAGCCCACCACGCTCGAGCTCCCGTCTGCACAACCATCTGTTCCTCCTCCAGCCCTTGGGTCCTTAGCGATACCCACTCTCATTTGCCGGACAAAAGAAGCCCAGGGAAAACCAGAAGGAAGACTGGCCTAAATGCCCCCCCCAGTTTCGACTCTGGCACGGACGCAAAACGTCACTTTGCCACGCCACGCTCCTCCAAATGCCACCCAACTGAACTAGAGCGAGCGGGGAGTTCCCTGCCCACTTTTCAGGCCTCTCAGCACCGCAAAGTACCGTGGCGAGTACCATCTCACTCAGGCGCGGGTGGCAGGAGCAAGCATACTCACATTGGAAAGACAGTAACGTGTCCGGAAGCCGTTAGGGAAGCCGCGCAGGCACTGCGTGAGATGACCGCCTTGCTCATTTCTGGCATCTGCAATCAGAACGGAAACAGACGATGGGAGGTGGGGACACTGGCAATGGCCGGCAGCTCCAGTCTCTCTCAGCCCAACACGACGAGAGCCGCCACAGGGAAGGGTCCGGGCCTCAGCAAGCCTTGCTGTGCCTGTGCCTCTGCTCCGTGCTCTGAGCTGGGGCTGAGCAGTGACGCGCACCGTTTGTCCCTTGACAAAAAGCGAGGCCTTTTGAGGGCGCGTATCCCGGGGCAGAGCCGGGCCACCTCACGTACAGGAAGAGCTCTCCAGAGCCCGCTTTCCCGCACACCGCCAGGAGCCCGGGTGGCTGGAGAAGCATGGCACGCCAGGAGAGAGCAGTCCCCTCGTCCCCGGAAGGCGTTTAGAAGAATCAGAGGTAGTGCTGGGAAAACGCAAGACCTACCCCAAGAAGAGCCTGCAGCACCTCGGCAGTCCCACTGAGCTTCCCCAGGAAGTCCTCGTAGTACTTCATCTGGACACGCTTCCCTTCGATCAGCAGCATGCCAACATCCCACCAAACGAAGGCAACGTTCTGCCTCTTCCCTATGCAGGCGCTGAACTGGCAGACGGTCCTTTGCACGCAAAGCCGCGCCGCGCCTTCAGAGATGCCGGTTTCCGAGGCTATCTCATCATAAGGAAGTTGCTGATACTCGTCGTGTCCTGGAGAAGCGAGAGGAGAGGAGCGTGAGCACTTGGGGAGCCATGGGCAGGCCACGCTCCAAAGGCAGCAGCTTCCAGGCCCTCGGGCAACGCACTGCTGTTGTGTAGTCTTTGAGACTGTGAGGCGGAACCATTGGTACGTCTCTGTGGAGACGCTGAGATGCGGAGCCGATGAGACCGGAATGAAACCTGCTGCTGAAGCAGCTGAAGGAGTGTGCTGTTACCCTCTGCTGCCATTTGCAATGGCAGACTGTCACACTGTCCCCACCAGAGTGCCAGGGCAGGCTCCTCTGTCAGACTCCACTCTTCCTACCTGCAACGTCTACGTAGTCGTATCGGAGGTCGTGGTCCTGCGCAAGAGCCTTTGCCAGATGAAACACGGGTCTCTCAACAAGAACCACATTGTTCTGCTGGTTGACCACGTGCTCTCTGACAAGGGTGAAAGCGCCCAGTTCAGGAATGCTCACAGCCTGAAAGAGGAGAAAGGGCGGATCAGAAGAAGTTGTGCAGGGAATGACGGAAGACTATTTCCCTCTCGCCCCTCCTCCCCGTGAAGAACCAGAAAGCGCAGTCTTCTGGCTCATAAAGACACAAGCGGGGCTCCCAAACTTGCAGTCACCCCCACAGGATCCCTCTGACTCTGCCGGCAGAGGAAGGAAGCACGCAGGCCCAGAAAATGCCCAGCCCTCTTTCCATCATTAGGCCTGGAGCCCCTGGCATTTCAGAGCTGACGGTGGAGCCAGCCTGCAGCCCCCATCTCGCATCGCGGTGCCCCTCTGCGGCGCGGGTCCTGCTTCCACGGAGGGCAAGAATAGCTGCGCTCCGTGGCAAACGGGCTCTCGGGGCTGAATCAACCGCGAGAGGGAGGAAGGGAGTAGGAGGCAAGTCCCACCTGGTACAGAGCCAGCTGTCGGCCGAGATAATAGGATGTGCTGAACCAAAACTTAGCGAGCTCTGCAAAACAAAAGGAAAGACACGTCAAGCTCCCAGGCGGCCACCTCCAAACCCTTCAGCACGCCCAATTCCCGCCACAGGAACGGCGCGGGATGAGCTGAGCCTTCCGAGCCATTCGGTTCCGCCGGCGGCTTCTGCTCGCAGATCCCCGGGAAGGCAGGCGCCAGGCCGGGAGCACAAGCCAGCAGTCGCGCCCGCCCGAGCGCTCCTCGCACCCCCGGGCTGCCAAGGCAGCCGCTTTCGCGCCGCAACCCGCCCTGCTCAGCCGTCCCCGCCTCCCTCCCTCCCTCCCTCAAGAGCAGGGCTTCCACGCCTGCGCTCAGAGCTGTCACCGGCCCGACAACACGTGCGCGCCGCCGGGCCCGAAGGCCTTACCAGACTTGCGGATCTTCTCCGCAGTCGGAGTCGAGCGGGGTCTCGAGAAGAGGGAGTTCGCCATCTTCCTTCCCCCCTCGCCGCAGGTCAACGACCGCGGCGGGCGGCCGGCCGGCCAAACGGCCCTCCTCCTCAGCCCTTCGCCCCTGCCCTCCTGCTTCTCTCTGCCTACTGCTCCTCACGGAACGGCGGATCCTCCAGAGCACGGCGGCGAGATCAGCTCCTCGGCGAGCGCCCGGAGCCTCGTCGGCCTCTCTGGGAAATGGGGGGTCGGCGAGCTTCGAGGCGGCGCTCACCGCTGCGACGCGCGCCGTGCCACTGTGAGCTCAGGCCGCGTCACAGAGGGGCTGCCGCGCCCTGCCGTCAGAGCGGGCTCCGGGCAGGGACGCCTTCTGGGAGCGGGCCTGCGGCAAGCGGGCTCTCCTGAGCGGGAGAGCGGCGAGCTGCTGGAACGGGCTGCCTGCCCGGAGAGGCTGCGGGCAGAGGCCCCGTCCGGCCCCGGAGGCGTTCGAGGCCGGCTCGGAGGTGGCCCGCTCCGCCGTGACATGGGGAGGTCGGCGGAGATCCGCGATCCTCGGGGCGCCTTCCGAGCCGGGCCGTTCTGCGGTTCCGCGGGCCTCCCGGCGCTGCGTCGCGACCGACGGGGCCTTCGCCTGGGCGCGAAGGGGCTCGCCCCGCGCTCCTCGCTCGCTCCGCGTCCTCGGACCGAAACGCCGGGCCGGAACCGCCGACGGCTTCTGGCCGCCCTCTCGCGACTCCTCCCGCCTTCGCCTGGGACTGGGACGCGGCGGGCTTCGGTGGCGGCCCGCGGGAGCGGAGCCCCGCGGCTTCCCCGCGTGGGATCGGAGCAGCCCAGGCGGCTCTGGCGCGAGGACGCGGGCGGGAGGGCGCGGCGCGGCGCGGCCTCTCGTTCCGGCGACGGCTCGCGTGCTTTGGAGCCGCGGGCCGAACGCGGCCCTGCCCGGAGCCGAGGCTGCAGCGCCTGAGGCGCGGACTCAGGTGTGACCGATCCTCAGCGTCTGCTGCCAGTGCTCACGTCACTTCTGTACCTTCACGGCTGTTCTGTTCCTGGCTTTGCCATCCGCCCCTACACCTTTCCCAGCCGCCCTTAGGCGCCAACAGAGCGTTCCGCAAACGCCCTTCAGCCCTTCGTGCGGGCGCTCATCCACTCACAGCCGCTCTTTCTTCTTCCTCAGCTGTCCTCGGTTCTCGTGCCGTTTAGCTCGCTCCACAGCTGCTGCTCTGAACGGTTCTCCTTGTCTTCCCACAGTTCCCCCCTTTCTGTTTATTTGCAAACTACAACATAACACCAATTATCTTACTAAAATAATGGGTGTAACTCAATCGAGCCCTCGACTGACAGTACTCCGATCGTGAGAAAGGAGGCAAGGCAAACACAGCATAATGACAAGAAACACTGTCAGCCCACTGAAAAGAACAACGCACGTTTGGCTGCAACCCAAGGTTCTGCAACCTGGAAATAAATCCCTGAGGGTCCCGTTCTGTGTAACTGGTTAGGAAAAGGTCTTCAACTTTTGCATATTCTGATGGATTCCGATTCTGAACGATCACTAAAGGTGGATGGGAAAGTTGCAGGAACAGAGCACTTGTGAAGGAACAGAAGTGACGTGAGCACTGGTAGCACACGATGAGGATGCATCAAATCCTGTTTAACTCACATTCGATCCACTACTGAAATAAAAGCACACAGCAACCTAGATAACGCCTAAGAATTCCAATTCTTGAGACCGCATTGACAACACAGGGAAATCACCTGCTACATCACACCATTACTGACGTTGTTATGTGCAATGCAGCACGTTACAAAGCAATGCCAGCAAGTAAGAAGCACACAATCCCAGTCATAAGGGATGATGCTACTTTCTGCCTTGAGAGGAGGACGAGCACATCGTGCTGGAACCCACGTGGGGCCAGTCCCTGTGGAAGCACAAGCATATCCACGACCCCAAGCTATCAGCGGACAGGGACCTTGCCAGCAGCGCGGGGCCGTGCTCTGAACGTTGACCATTGGCCGTTCCTCGAGCACTGGGCAGGCCCCGAAATGACGATCCACACCAGTTGCATCTGTGTGGTGACGATTCAAAACATTCAGCACAAGCAAAGCCTTGCATAATCTTTCTCGTGGCGCGTGTCCCGTATTCCCCTTCTTTGTTCATTACGAACGGACTGCAGCGTTTGATGAGTGCGCTCGATGATGGCTTGTGCAGCGGGAGAACGAGGGATGCCTGCAATGCGCCGAATTCCCACAGAAGAGTGTGGGAAAGCAGCTTTGCGTTCCCTTTGCTGAAGGAACTGGGGACCAGGTTTCAAGATTGCTGACAAAACGGTTTCGTAGAAAGGATAACAACGAAAATTATCCTTGTTAGCCCGTGTCCACCAACTTCATCGTATATTTTGCCTGTGGCCCAAGACAATTCCTCTTCCTTCATTCGGGGCGTTCTTATCTTGCGCAGTCCTAAGCTGATGGCCAACTATTCTGCCTTCCACATTGTCAAGACAACATGAGTGCCAAGCAAGGCACCCAGGCCAGTAGAGAGGATGGAGAAATGGGTAAGCAAATTTACCAACGTTTTCTGCCAATCCTGTGTATGTGGCCCCTTCGTATCAATGCTTTTGCTGTTTCCTGAGCTTCTGACCTCAGCAACTAGCAGAAGAATTAACTGAACGTGTGATATCCATGCTGTTCTTTCTGCTTCTTGCGGGTGTAATACGCTGTCCTTGCTGTTTCTTGCAGAAATCATCCTTTGTTGAAATTAAATAGCGCCATCCTAACCCCACATATTGGAACTGCAACAGTTCACCCGGGCGTCCTGGTGGACGACAGGTCGGCCGTGAGCCAGCAGTGTGCCCTTGTGGCCAAGAGGGCCAACGGCATCCTGGGGTGCATTAAAAAGAGCGTGGGCAGCAGGTCGAGGGAGGTGATCCTCCCCCTCTACTCTGCCCTGGTAAGGCCTCATCTGGAGCACTGCATCCAGTTCTGGGCTCCCCAGTACAAAAAGGACAGGGATCTCTTGGAAAGAGTCCAGCGGAGGGGCACAAAGATGGCGAGGGGCCTGGAGCATCTCCCTATGGAGAAAGGCTGAGTGAACTGGGTCTGTTCAGCCTTGAGAAAAGGAGACCGAGAGGGGACCTGATCCAGGTCTACCAGTATCTAAGGTGTGGGGGTAGAATGGCGAGGCCAGACTCTTTTCAGTGGTGAGTGGAGATGGGACAAGGGGAAACGGCTGGAAACTGCAGCATAGGAAGTTCTGCACAAATGTGCGCAAGAACTTCTTTACAGTGAGGTGACGGAGCACTGGAACAGGCTGCCCAGGGAGGCTGTGGATTCTCCTTCTCTGGAGATGTTCAAGACCTGCCTGGATGCCGACCTGTGCGACCTGCTGTAGGGAACCTGCTTTGGCAGGGGGTTGGACTCGATGATCTCTGGAGGTCCCTTCCAACCCCTGCAATTCTGTGATGCTGTGATTCTGTGTGATTCACGCCACCCACGTGATGACAGAAGCAGCAGTAGCAAACCTGCTGTCCGTTCTCAACTGTCAACCCGTTCCAAGTGAAGTGTTTCCCCAATGATGCGCACCAAACGGCAGCGCTAAATCTCTGGCCTATGAGAAGGCTCCATTTCATACAGAACCACTATTAGTTTTGAACAGGAGAAAAAAGCAGCCGTGTTCCTGCACAGCTCTTTTGGTCACTCTGCTGCAAAGCTGTCAACTCACTCAGCTTACTCTGTACTGGCATTTACAAAATCAAAACAGCGAAGTGGAACAGATAAAACGGTTCTGTTTGAACACTTTGATGCCTTCATCATTCGCTCAATTATTTGGTAGGGTTCCATTAATGAGCGCTGGACCCTTTTCAAGCACCATCTCTTTATGAAGAGCGGGGCAACTGGCAAATGCCATATGTCAGAAGTCATGGAAGCGGGGCACAGGATGGGTTTGGCTTGATCTTCTAGAGCTGGGGTGGAAAATCAGTGTCTAGCAAATGGAAGTAAGGTCAGGTGACAGCAGTGAACTACAGACACGCTGTTCGCCTCTGTAGGAGAAATATTCACGTGGGCAAAGCTCACCTGGAGTTGAAGGGGGCCCGTACTGTGGGAGACAGGTATCAAAAAGTGTGTTTTAAAATACGTCCGTAGTGGGAGGAAGATGAGATTTTTGTCTGAGTTACTGGAAAACACACGCAAGACGGGAAACAGCAGCCCAAAGAGGATTGACAGGATGCTGTCTCAGAACTGACTTAGAGCTGTTGAGCCGTTAAGCCTGGGCTCAGAAAGCCCCACTGGCTGAGCACGGCACCTTTTGAGCACAGGCATTCCTGGCTTCAGCTGTGGATCTGCCAGCAATGGCAAGGGGCTGGATGTGGAAGGGGCCGCCCTCAAGCCAGCCAAAGCAGCCGGGGGCAAAGCTGTCAGCGTGCAGATTGCACAGCCACACTGGTGACACCAGAGAAGGCTCCCAGCTCCCAGCTCCCACTCCGAGATGGAGCTCGGAGGGAGGAGGACCGGGCTTTCCTCCTCATCTCCTCACGCAAGGTTTCTGCCTTGGATTTCAGCACCCTCGCAGCACACTGTGGTGCCCGTGCAGCTCCGGGTAGCCCTGCCAATGCAGGCCCGGGAACCCTGGGGAGGGGAGCACCTGGCTTTACAAGGCCCCCTCTGTAAAGCGCGCGTTTCACGGCGACCAAGGAAAGACCCACGGTGTTTGGGGATGGGGTTGGGGTTTATTGGGTATAGGGAAAGGGTAATATGGAAAGCGGCGACGCCTTTAACAGTGTCACCGTGAGCGTCGCCAACAGTGAAAGGTGGTCCTCGTTGAGCTGTTGGGTGACACTTAGTGGATGTCTGGCTCCAGAATCTCACTGCTGCTGGATCTCTCGTGGTCCTCGTCGACGTGCCTGACCACGACTCTCCGGACCTGAGGAGTTCAGTGTAAAGCTCAGTAGTTTTGTGAGCGCAGAGACACGCAGCGCAACGCTGCAAGTCTCTCTGCAGTACGAGAGAGTGGTTCTGCTAATGCAGGTCTAGAGAGAGCAGGCTCCTGGTCCCTGTGATGTAACTGCAGCCCTTGTGGCCAGTCCCGA